ACTTGTTTACAGTATACTGACAATCTATAGCTCCTTGATATAGCCCATTTAAAACTTTTACTAACATCTATCGGTGATAAACTTTTTTTTAGAAAGGCCCAACAGTAAGGATTTTTTAAATTTTTTTATGAAGGCCCAATCAGGCCAGTATATCAAATTTTCACTTGCCATGAGGAAAAATTAAAAATGCTGATATTTTTAGGTAAATATTTTAAATGAAATGCCGTAAACAAGCATATTGATTTTTATCATCTTTTTAAAATTCCTTATGTTAGGACTTACCATCTGACAGGACTTCATAAGCCTCTGAAAGCTCTTTAAACTTCTTTTCTGCCTCTTCCTTGTTATCTGGATTCTTATCTGGATGCCACCTGAGAGCTAGTTTCCTGTAACTACAAAGGAAATACAACATGACAGAGTGATAAATGAGCCAAGACAGGAAGAATACCATATTTAAAAAAGCATTAGTGCTACTAGTTTCTACATCTGAATTACTGTTAAATGTTGAAAAGCAAGCAATGTTAGGGATATTAAGAGGACTAAATGAAACCAAAGATGAAGCTTACGCTTTTTTGATGTCATCTGGAGATGCATTTCTCTGCACCCCTAGAACATGGTAATAATAGTCATCCATGGCCACCGATTTCAATGGCTGGCAATCAAAAGGGGGATAAACAAAAATATAATAATAATTAGCACAAATCTGCAGGCACTATAACTATATAAAGCCTACTGTATCATTAGGTGCATGAATTTCTAAGGCCTTTAAATTTTTAAGATCTGAAAAACCTGTTGTACACAATCTTACTGTGAAATCTCTATTGATTTTTATCAAATAAATATATGAATAACCTTTATATTGTTGTTACTATTTAAAGATGAATATTTACTGAACTGAAGCAACGTTACTTGATTATTTGATTATCCATACATATTTGTTTTTAGAAAAATCATGTAAAAATGTGAATATCAAATATGATACAACAGGCTTTTGAAGAATATTTTTCGGTACATCTCTCAATCATCATTGTATTGCACTAACTTCATGTCATGATGGGTTTGTTTTCACACAACCAATCATATTTTGAGTGTTGGTAGAGAAGGACGCATGTGCAAAATAAGAGATAGTGAGGTGCTATAAATGTCACATTGCCATTTCCCCATTCACACTATGATAAAATACATTTATGAATATAAACAATGATTTTTGGTGCACTGCAAAAAGACAGCCACTAAAATACACTGAATAAAAGCAACAAAGGCATAGTTCACCTACAAAAAAGAAAGAAAGTTCTGTAATGATTTGCTCATTCTTATGTTGTTCCAAACCTGTATGACTTACATTCTTCAGTGGAACAAAAAAAGAAAATGTCTGGCAGAATGACAGTCTCCGTAACCATTCACTTTCGTTTTATGAACAAAACATGCAATCAAAGCGAATAATGACTGAGGCGGTCATTCTGACAAATATCTCTTTTTGTGTTTCACAGAAGAAAGAAAATCATGCAGGTTTGGAAAAACATGAGGGTGAGTAAATTAACACAGGCTGTTCATGTTTGGGTGAACTCTCTCTTTAAAGCTTCTCTATGTCCACAAGCTAGCCAACCACCAACAATATTAATACATTCCATTAATACCTTCTTCCTGACACTGAGAGAAAATTGGTTTGACGTTGGATATTAGACAGATATTCAGCCTCGAAAAACTATTTAGAATAATGGCAAAATACGTGTTTTGTTTGAATTGTTTTAAAAATGTAGAAGAGAACAGTGTTGTTTGTGTCTTATTCTGCCTTGATGTATGGCAACTCATAGATTTTATAACGTAATGGCGCAGGATAGGGGCCATCTACAAAGTACAAAACGAAGAGAATAAACGTTCAATGGTTCCACATCCAAATGCTTAACTGTTGAAAGAAAAAAAAAAAAGAAGAAACAAATTGTACACACAAGACCTTGAAATGCACACACACAAACACACAACTCTCATTTGCTAAACAACACATGCTAGATATTGTAAAGAATAATAATATTAGTAATAATAATAAGAAAAATTATAATATTTACATTTTGGAAAAAATACATATATTTGGCATACAATGCCGAACTCAAAAGGTGTGACCTGTTACTACATCCTAAATTAAATTATTTCAGTCCGGCTTTAATATCATACGTGATACAGACTCGTTGGAAGGCTTCACAAGCTATTCTTTAATGTCAATAGCATGAATTCTGCATCTCTTTTGACAATGAAAACTGGAAAATGTTCTTTGAGAAATCTGTAACAAGACACAGCCTTTGAAGTTGAGATAGAAGATTGTATTTATTTTAAACGAATTAATGTACTGGTTTCATTTTCAATAGTATGTGTTCTATTATTGTTCTGTGGCTAGAACCACCATCAAAATGTTTGTCTGATCTGTAACAAGTCACACACTATGAAGCTGACACAGAAGAGTCTATTTTTTTTTTAATGAATTTATTTATCGATTTAAATTTCAATAGCGTGTAATTTTGGTCATAGTTCTGTGAATACAACCAACATTAAAATGTTCTTACAAGGACCTGGAATAAGCCTACTGCATATCACTTGGATTATGGAATTATAATGATTTTTATATTGTTTTTCTACTATTAATATAATTATTAATAGTAATAATATAATAACAACCACTATCACATATTTAGTTTACAATATTTCTTATTTAAATTCAAGTGGGTGTTATAAGTGTTTGTCTGGGTATCTTTCAAAGACCTTGGTGCACAAATTACTCGTTTAGCAAACTATTAAAAAAATCGTTTTATCCTTCCACATGTACTTTGTAGACGGTCCCTACCTGGCCTAAAGAGCTAGCGCGCCGCTGCTAGAGCCTTTATGCGTTACAACATATCGAGGAGGATTAAAACAAATAAACTGCGATGTGTGTTCAGTTCTACGTTCTAAAACTTGTCAGATTAAGCCATTTTTTATACAATTATACTCAACCACTAAGAATTTATTGATGTTTTTCGCGGCTGAATATCTGTCTAATATCCAACGTTAAACGAACTTTATCTCGGTCTTCCAGACGAAATAAAAGCTTACCCTTTTTACCCACACTTTCAAAAGCCCAAAACATCTGAACAGCGATATAACTTGCTGTAATTCATATTTCGACCTGGCAACCTTTGCATCTTTTTTAGATGAGCTAGCCAGCTAGCAACAATGCTATGAGCGGGCGAGCAGGTTTTATTATTATTTGTCTCGTGAAGCAAAGCTCTAGCGTAAGCCTGGAGACATATTTAACGCTTAACTTACCTTGTATTTTAACTGCCAGAGGCAGCTGCTCTGTTTTTGATTCGCTAACCTCTGCCTGGGCGACGCTGTATCGAGCTGATGTGACAAGCAACGAAGCGTCCGGAACTAACACGAATCTTCTGGGTTTTGTTGTTGCAAGATTTGACGTCACGTCCTGTTTGAGTTATTCAAAGCATCCGCGATTTTGGCTCCAGTTTTTCTGAGGAAATAAATCATTTTAGTGGACGAGTTTGACAGCTGCTTTATGATGTCGTAAAATAGTCGACTCTGTGCGTTTTCGTCTGCTGTGTGAAAAATGTTGACTATTATAACTGCTGTATTTCATTGTTCAAATAGCCACATATGAGCGCTTCTCCTCCTGCGGACACGTGTATGTCCCGGAGGTTGTATATAAAACAAATGTCCCCATAATAAATTGATCTTTTAATTTTGCTGTTTTCAAATGCCCTTCATATTTCATAGTTTCGCAAACTATGAAAATATTTACAACAAATATAATTTAGTGTGTATAAAACCACATAAAAAGAGTGATTAAAAAAAAAACATTTATAGAACAAAGCCAGAGACCACGATGACATTACAAATAGTGAATTAAACCATTTATACAAAAAACGCGAGAGTTTATTTTCTGAAAGTTCGCTGATGTGGCCACATGCACGTATAAACGATATAATTAGGCTAAATGGCGGAGAGCTGATATCACATGATACTAACTACCAATTAAATTACGTTATCCTTATATTTATTTTTTTATTTATCTTGTGATCCTTTGGCGTCGTACTGGGTCCCTCTGCTGGCTTGTTTTTGTATTACGCTTCGCAGGTGCACAGAGTTCAATTACTGACTGTCCACTGCAGTTTCAATCGTTGATGAGTTATAGGCTAGAACACAGCGTCAGTAATAACAACTCTTATAATTATGAAAACAAGAATGAAATAAACATAGGCTAATTACATTAATAAATTAAAATATTTTAAAATAAAAATGCATAAATAGAAAGACTTGCATACTATATTAATCTAACATTAATAGAGTTGAAGATTATTAGTGCCAGATTCAAAAAATGACATTTGTAATGTGTGGCTCTGATATAAACAGGTGCTGGTCTTAAGCCTTGTCACTGACATTCATATGTTTCTCATTAAGCTAAGCCTGTTAGCAGTTCAGCAGCAAGTGCCCTTTCCAGACCCATCAGTTAGAGTCCATATGCAGATAGACAGTGGCTATCCTGTTTCAAATATAAAATATGAATGGGAAGTTCCTTTTGGCATTAATCCGGGTATGAGGTGCCAGAGAGATACTATTAGGATACTATCAGAAGTTAATCATCCCAGTGTTCCAACATATATTAATGCCAATTTTTGCATCGATAGCCTAAAGGAAAACAAACTGGCTAGCTGACAATGCAGTTGTCATTTTGGCAATGGGAATTTGTATTTTATACTGATAAATGGGCATGATAAGACGGGTGCAGCAGTGGTACATAAACTATTAACTCCAGTCTCTTTTGTGTCTGTCCTTTTTTCTCTCTCGTAGCTGTTTCAGTAATGAGGGATGAAATAGAGGAAGTTCTGCTTCATGTTACTTACACGTACTGCTGTCCTGCTGTGCGGGATGCAGAAGTTTGTCAAGTTGAGCCTTAAAACAACAAGGAACACTTGACCTGTTAGATCACAGCCATACATTCTACCATTTCTCTCCCTCGCTCTGTCCCATTTGTCCCCTCAGGACGGTAATGTCTAATTTTATCCATGGTTATTGAATAACAGTTCATGAGAAGGCAGAATCAGAGTCAGGTTGAATAATCGATCATGCTGCTCTTGCTGCTATAAACAGAAGTGGGCTAAGTGCTTCATCAGGGAGGGAGAGGCCTGTGAAAAAAAGACTCATCACTGTGAACAGGGTTCAATGCCTTCAAATGTAAAATCAAGAGAAAATTTGTTGCTTGATGAGTGACATTTACATATTATAGATTATTTGGAGGAATGTCATCACACATAGGGTCACTGGCTCTAAAGAGCAATGTCTAATCTTAAGTGTTTATTGCATGGCAGAGGTCAGAGGTGAGTTTCACTGGCTTTAAAGTCATTTACACCTTAACACCTACGCTACCTCACCTCACCACTTGAGGGCTTCACAAGACTTCAGACATCAGTCTGGCAGATAATCACATTTAAAAATCACTGCACACCCAAGCTTGGCTGGTCTCCTTTTCCAGCACATTCTGGTAGACAGTATGACCAGAGAGGCTTATGCATCTGTGGCTTCTTCACTTATTGTTGTTTAATAAGTTTGATTAAAGCTGACGAAAGTTGTCGAAAAATAAGTCATTTTTAAAAATTAGTTTATTAGTAAAAAGTAAACAATTCCCAATATAATTTCTGAGAATGTGTGTTAAATTCATAATATTGACAGGATTGATAATAAAGACACGAAAGGATAATTTTTCTACGTATTGTTAATAGAAAACATGCCCTCAATGCCCCTGAAAATCAATTACAAGTGACAACCTGAACAAATAAAGACAAAAACAGTAATATTGTGAAATATTATTGCCATTTAAAATAACTTTTTCTATTTTAATATATCGAATTGTAATTACTTAATGTAATGTATGCCTGTGATGGAAAAGCTGAATTTACAGCAGCCATTACTCAGGTTCAGTGTCACATGGTCCTTCAGAATTCATTGTTATCAATGTTGAAAACCGTTGTGCTGCTTAATTATTTTTGCAGAAACTGTGATACTTTTTTCCTTGATAAATAGCATGTGTTTGAATCTTTTGTAACATTTGCCTTTATTGTCATTGAACAATATAATGCAACAATGAAAGTAATAATTTCCTTCAAAAAAAATAAAATAAAATAAATAAAAATACTGACCCCAAACTTTTGAATGGATATTTATATGCTAATGAATTTTTTTTCTTGTAATTTAAAGTGTTGACAATACAAATTGTACATTTGTATTGTTGTATTAAACAATATGAACTTTATGAATGATTCTCTTTGTCCTTATTCAAGATTTTGTGCTCATTCACTTGCTGCAGGAGGAAATGATGAGAGAAGTCCTGCTGTTAATAGACAGCCTCAGATACATGCATTAATTTAACTGTACAGTCACATTCACATATATGGGACTCACATCTCTGAGAGTCAAGATTAAACTCTGCTCTGCTCTTTGAAAGACTAATGAGGTTGAATTACTGTTCGCTTTTTATCCCACAGAGGAAATGGAAGGAATAGGATTCCGTTTTGTTCATTTTCATTTTCATTTTTGTTCCGTTTTGACATGTTCATGAAAACATACCTTCACTTTTCAGGTTTAAACAAATGAACAGCTGATGACTAATTCCTGTTTTGTGCCCCAACACAGCATTTCACAAGGATAATACAGTTTATGTGCACAAACCATATCTTTATGTGTATTTTATCAGTCAATTACACGGCGGCCATACATCAAAATATACATAACCTTTGTGCACAGAATGAGATAGAATTCATGAAAAGGCTGCAGCTGTGACTGAATGAAATGGATTAATCAACTATACACAAGATCTTGTGGTGTTCCACAGGAATCCCCTTTTATCTTCACTTGACAAGTCACTACAAGCATGTTCCTTCCAGAGAGCTTTCAAGACACAACTCACAGTTTTCCATTAGTCGTTTGGAGTCACAGATCAAGTGATCTATCAGCATGAATTGATAGAAAACATCTATTTGGTTTCATCTGTGTGTAAACCTGTTACCTGTTAAGACAGTTAAAATGTACAAAATCATCAAAGAGTACAGTCACAAGGATCCTGTACAAATTTAGGGATCTTTTCATTTTGACAGTCCTGTCTCCTGACTTTGGTGCCGCTCACTGTAGCTGGCCTCCTCTTTTGGAGGTGCATTATTGATGGCTGTCTCACTTTGTATTGCTGTTGCTTAGAAAGGGATACAGAGGCACTTAGGAAATTGAACTAGATGCAAACTTCATTGCACCAAACCTTTTAGTGATGTCATTAATTAAACTGCATTGTGAATATGGAGTGTTTTTGGCAGGAGACTGTGACAGCCATCGGCTGCTGGACTGACTGCTTCAACCCAAGCACTTAGACAAACAGCAGAGTGATGTCATCCAAGCAAGGCACTGCTGAGAGTTTTGGGAAAAGTAGTTTTTAGTCATCTATGAATTTACTATTGATCTGAAGCCAAAAATGATGCGACGTTTAAATTTAAACCAATTTAAATGAAAACAAAGACGGATAGATTAATACATCCAAGATTAAACAGATTAATAACTAGTTTAATAATTATTAAACCCAACAATGTTCAATATTGTGAACATTAATATAGTCAAATCAGACAGACAGACAGATAACCTTTTGAAAGAATCACATTTTGTTGCTTTGCAGCCTGAAATGAAGACGGACACAGTTTTTGTTTTATCCAGCTGTATTTACTCAGTGCAACTTATAACATCCAAGTGAACGATAGAATACCAACATGTCAGAAGAAAAAAATAATAAATAAACAGAATCACTGAGTTGGAAAAAGGATCACCCCCTTGTGTCAGTATTTTGTTGAACCACCTTTTGCTTTAATTACAGTCTTTAGTCTGTTGGGATATGTCTCTGTCTCTACTAACTTTGCACATCTAGACTTTGCAATATTTGCCCACTCGTCTTTGCAGAACCGCTCAAGTTCAGTTCAATTTGATGGTGAGCGTTTGTGGTCTGCAGTCTGCAAGTCATTCCACAGATTTTCAATGGGGTTTCAGTCTGAGCTCTGACTAGGCCATGCAAGGATATTCACCTTTTTCTCCTTCAACCACTGTGTGCTCAGTTTTGTGGTGTGCTTTGGGTCATTGTCATGTTGGAAGGTAAACCTTCTTCCCACTGACAACTTTCTGGCAGAGGGCAGCAGATTTTCCTCAAGAGTTTGACTATTTTTCCCATCCATTTTTCCTTCTATCCTGACAAGTGCTCCAGTCCCTGCTGCAGAGAAACACCCCCATAACAGGATTTCACCACCTCCATGTTTACTGAATGCTGTTATTTGGATGGTGAGCTGTATTGGATTTTGGCCAAACATATCGTTTGGTGTTGAGGCCAAATAATTAAATTTTAGTCTCATCTGCCTCACAATCTTC